TCACACACGACTATTCGGTGCCGAGCTTGGAGGTGTACCCCCCCCGACTTTAAACAAGGAGACACTTTGACCCTGTGGCTGCCGATTGTGACGTCGGCGACTTAGCTGCTGCTACTGCCGCATCGTTCTTGATCTTTGTCGTTCGTTGCAGGACATTCCCACGACTTCTAGCAACTGTACAGAAGTACCTAGGCGACACGAGAATGATAATGCAAGTGGAATGGCCATAGTTACGGCAGTTAGACGAAGCTCAAAGCCCCGGCACTCGAACAGCTCAGCAATTGATTGGTCACGTGAAACAGTTCCCGCACCCTGGACTAGGTGGTTCACTGCCTGGACTGTCTTGGTCTGATGTAGCTACATTTCTCAAGCAACATAGACGTCCAAACGGGTGCGTCTTCAACGGTAAATCACCAATTCCTACATAAACATGGAGGACACGTGGTAAATGCGCATTGTGTAACAAAACTCCAATGTCCGAGAATTCGATCATTTACCTTAGTACTAAACTAACTGTACTAAGGTAAATGACCTTACGTTAGTACTAACTGAACTGCAATTTATTGCACAAATGTCGGTATTCTCCAAGTGCTTGGGAAAATACCTTTTTTTCTGTGATTATTTTCGCAATCGCGAAAAAAACGAGGTAAATCCATTTTGATTGGCTCATGTTATTTGGTCATAAGTTAATATTGCACCAATCATATTGGGACTTGAATATATTTTCACCAATGGGAATCGATTTGAATATCGTGAAACGACGACATTTTTGGATTTCCCATCCATGTCATCAATTGAGCATCGCATTGAACGCAGCTCGAAGCTGCTTGTGGCGGGACTCCAAGCTCGAGTAGCTCCTGGTCCGTCCCCCGCCATCGGTGAGCTATGGGGCGCGATGCAGCCCCATTTTCACGGCAACGCAGCGTATGGAGTGTGCCATGACTTCAATGACGGAACGTACTTCTACCTGTGCGCGATCCAAGTGACCGAAGCGGAACTCAATACCTTGCCGGAGGGATGGATCTCACTGGAAATCCCCGAACATGACTTTGCCGTGTACGAGCATACCGACAGCGTCGACACGATCGGCGACACGTGGACCAGCATCATGCACGACAAGTCCGTCACGCGCGACCACGCCATACCCAGCGTTGAAAAGTACCCAGCAACGTTTCATGTTTCCGGAGGTCTCACCATTTGGATTCCCATTGCAACCACAACATAGGAACATAATGGGAACCCAATGATTCAGAGTGGATGGCAGTAGCAAGTCGTGATTACTACATTTCATTCCCAACATTAACTACTGACGGTGAGCAATCATTCCATGCCCTTTAGGGTTGACTTGGACAGCATAATCAGTGCAAACTCGCAACTTCGACCAAGTTGTGTGACAAAGTTTCGCCATTGTACTTGTTCATGAGTGGCTCATAAATCAAAAAGGTCAAATACAAGTGAACTTTCACCAAAATTGGCAAATTTGTACGATATATCGTGGTTTGAAAGATATGGGTACACGTCTGTGGAGGCAACGGCGATGACAACGCTGCACCAGATGCACACGTCTCACAACGACTCGGTCAACTTTCTCTGTGGCGAGTTCATCCAGAGTGATCGCGCCGTGTTTGTGATGCTGCAAGTCCACACCGATGACGACAGGACTGACATCCAGAGTGATCGCGCCGTGTTTGTGATGCTGCAGGTCCACACCGATGACGACAGGACTGACATCCAGAGTGATCGCGCCGTGTTTGTGATGCTGCAGGTCCACACCGATGACGACAGGACTGACGCCCACCGCATGCGGGATCGCATGGCGTGGTACGGTGTCGCATGTGATTTTTTTTTTAACGGCAGTGAGTTCGGCAAGAGTTTTATCGGCAGCCCAGCGACCAGTGGGTGCAAAGGCGACTGTATCGCTTGTCCCAGATATCACACGCGATGGAGTGGTGCCGTTGGAGGACGAAGCCAAGCTGTGGGGACTAGACTTGGCGGACGTGGCGACGGCGGACAGCCGACAAGCGCGGTTTCGCCAGTATACAATGGCAATGGCAAGGGCCGTGTATAATATGTAATTTAGAACGACAACATTGATTTGTCTGGCTTTGATATATGCACTGCTTTACGGCGGCTGCCCATAGGAAATCTACAGTAGTCGATTTATTAAGTTTAAAAGAAAATATGTTTTTTGAAAATTTAAATTTAAATTTGGATCATAAAAAAGAAAATTTATTGGTTTTGGCGATTTATGTTCTATTTTATCTACAATTTACTTATTACGCTTTTTTAGAAAATATTTTATGTATTATTTTATTTGTATATATTATATATTATATATTTTATTTATGTTATAAAAAACAAGTTTTTTTACGGTAGCCGAACATTCTGTTAGGTTTAAAAATGTCTGTTTTCGTTGTTTTATTTGTCTTGGCTAGAGCTACTAGTACATATATTACCTAGATATCGTTTTGATGAATTAATGCGCTTAGGTTGGAATTTTTTTTTACCTTTAATAGATGAACCATAATATTAACCCCTGAACATATGAAAATATATTTCGGTTGAAGTACCTCTACCAGTTGCTCCAAAATTATCAATGTTAAAAATTTCATTTGATGTTCCAAATATTACAAATTTCATTAGAAAAACGTACACTATAGAGTTTTCAAGTATTTTATACAAAAAAATAAAAACGAAGCTCCGGCATCTGTCCAAGATGGGGGTACCTACAGGACCGTGAAAATGTGACGCGGTTGAGGCAAATGATAATCCTCGACAAGATTATCTTTCCCCATGTCGAAAAAATAATCTATTTCTGCGCCTGCGGCATAGAGTTAAAGTCAGAACACCCTGTTCTGATAGAGAACGTCCCCACTGCCCTGTCAGTCAGGTAGCAGCGTCTGCTAGCTGTGTAGGAGGTTTTTGTGCCTTCTAGAGGCTTTTCCTCCGAGTAGAAGTCAGCGCAGACATTTGGTCACGGAACATCATTGGATGTCGTGGTCAATCATAGTTAGTTTTGATTGGCTGGTTCTTTCCAGTCAGAAGTAATTCACTTCCAGTTATTCCTTCTGCCTCCCACGTGTCTGTTCCTGCCTACTGCCCTCTTCACTGTTTATAGCCATTTATCTTTCGTGACAGAATCATCTTGTGAATCTTTTTTGCTTGTGGTGAGTGGAGCTGCAACTTCGACTTCCGGATGTGCTCTGTAGAGCGAATAATGGTGTCTGAAGTCATCAGGGACCATTCAGTGCTCGGCGTCGAAGGCCATAAGCACACCAGCGAGTCTATCATGTGCCTTGTACGAATGGTTGGCTACTCCTACAACGGTGTTCTAAAACAGGTCGAAACCTGTCGACGCAACTATGACTGTGTCGTCGACTGGCCCAGGATCAGTTGGGCAGAGCCGAGCTATCAAGCGTCAAAAGTTTTTTCTCAACTACAGTATTGTCGATTTGATACAAATTTGGGGAGGGGGTGCAATCGCATCGCGCCGACCAAACCGATCCACAATCGATCTGATTGGTTGAATTTCATTGAGAAGGTTTTGATTGGCTAATAATTTTGAGCTCATCTGAGGTAGCCATTCAAATCGATTTAAATTCCAACGAGAAACCACGCCACAACACGAAATTTCACTCGAAAGCACAATACCAGTACTTTGAAGTACACTGAGTGCGGAAAGGCCTCAAAATTTTGAGGCGCTAATGTTCTTGTTACTACCACTTCGAGTACTGGAGTACCCACGCTGTTGCTAAAGCTACGAAATACTGTACTTCGAAGTATCATGGAGTGGTGGGGAGTGACAGGCATACACATTTAAATAACGTTACTCTAGATAAATCTTGTGTTGTCCAATGATAATCTATGTTTTTAAACACGAGCAAGGAATACATACTGGTACAGAAAATTCGTTTGAAAGGCCCTGGGTTGAGGCCCTTGAATTCACTTCCAAGGAGTTTAGGATAACCAAGCAAAATTGACGTTGGATTTGCAACGCTGGAGTGGTGGTTTACAGGGGGGACAGCCCATCTTCGTCGGATTAATAGGAATGGTGACGTGGGACACTTGATATATAGTACGTATACAGCCAAGACACTTGGAAATTGGACTGGGTTGAACTTCAG